TAGTCTCAATTGGGAGAGTGTGTAACCGGGTGACAACGCAGGAGAACAGGAGCACGATAGGTGTTGTCACTTTAGAACAGGCAGGATTTGTTTTTGAATATGCAAATTTTAAAATATTGAAAATTAAACTTGAAATTACATTAAAATGTAATTTTAATGTAAAAATATGATTTTGTTAATTGGGTTGGCATATACTTTAAATACTGAACCGATCTTTCTCAATACATCCATTTATAAGCACTTGGATCAGTCAAGATTAAGAAAAAAATGATTGTAAATACATGGTGACAACAAAAGGAAGGGGCTGGTTAGTAATATTAATTACTAAAAAGTATAATAAAACCTTTTTATCAGAGTTAATTTTTTTATTAGAACGTCTATATAAAATGAGGGGCGCCAGTGAAAAATATGAGGCCAGCACTTTTTAACACAGACTCAATATTTGTATCCTCAGCACTTCTGACCAGTAACCATATTTTAGTGAAATGTGAGCACATTTGTTGAAGTCAGCAGTACAAACTCTGTGGGTTTTTTAAACTTTACATAAACTGAATCTTGTGGAATATTCAGAGAGGGAAAAGGATACAAGGCTCTCCGCTGAGAAAGGGGCTCTACGCCACCAGCCATTGTCCTTCCACTGAAAGGATGTTCCACTTTTTATTGAAAGAGACTCTTTTATTCAAATGAAGAAAAAAAAAAACTGTTGCCGGTATAAAGTGAAGATTTGTTTTCCATACCTGTAGTAGCCTCCCAAACCCTCTTGTTACCGCTAAGATGCTGATATATAAATGTTATGCCCAGCATATAGCAGAGAAAATGCCGATCCTGCCGTTAGTTGGAGCTGAGGAGCATAGTGGCGGGAATGCAGTGAAAATGGCATTCACCCAGCTACTCGCTGGGCAGGATATTTATACATCAGCCACTAAGTAATACCGAGTCAGTTATATATTTATTTTTATTCTGAAACTACAGATTCTCTGAAAAATAAGCCGTATGGCTGCTTGGTGGAATAATGTTTCTACATTTTCTCAATATAGACAAACCGCTGTATTTTACAATACTGATTACACACACCGTGTGAATAGTATTTCCCAAGACATTGTTTGACTGAAAGAAAATGATAGAAATGACCATACATATTATACAAAGTACATGTTTTGCACAATTTTCTGACACATTCTGATATCAATCTAAACAATTTTATATCACATTGGGATATCAAAATACGATTTATTTTTCCTCTGAGAAATAAACATATTAAAAGGTGATCAACACTTTTTTGCTCGTTATGTTTGTGCATGTTAACACATGTTGAGGTGCTTTCCATTCATTTTAAATGGGCTCTCAATGATGTTCATAACATGAAAAATGCATCATTCTACAACGCAGTGCCCCCAACAAAACCATTAGCACTTGTACGTTGTGGTGCATTATAGCGCAGGTGCATTAAAGTCTACTGTATACGCATTGGGGTGCCATTGGCAGCACATTACAGCACATAATAATGTGCCTTAATGCGCAATGTGGTAGCCCACATTAAAACCCATGTTTTGATGCGCTTTTTGGCTGAGGGTGAATGCCAAGGTATGACTCCAGCCTTACTCAAAATCAAATTGGAATATGCAATTGGTTCTGCATCAATGTGCCACAACGTGGACCACTGACATTCTCAAACAGATAGGTTGAACATTTCAGAGGGCGGTTCTCTTCTATCAGAGTCATGATTACAGGGAAAAAGTATCTAAAAAAAGATGCAAAAACATAAAAAGTATCTGTCCATTCAGTGTCATAGAATGTGGTCGCCCATATAAATGGGCCACATAGTTTATATTACTTTCGAATTCTCAGTTTGGATTAAAAGACTTCAGCAGTAATTTGTTACAGTTTAATGTTGCAACACATGCGTAGATCCCTGTCCTATCACCATCCTTCACTTGCACATAACCTTAATTTTACTTCTCTGCCTTTCCTGCAAAAGGTAGACACAGCATGTAACAGACTCCTTTTGGCAGCAAAGACGCAAAAACACATACGTGATCAGTCTGCTAAAAACATGATAAAAAACACGAATCAAACAATCTCATAAAGCAGGAATTGTCTACGACAATTTGCGTTATATAAAGTAAAAATACAAAGTCTACTACAACATATAGATGAGATACTCTAGAGCCAGCAAGAGATATTCTTTATATATTAAATGTTAACTCACATGCATATTACTGACCTATAGATAAAATAATAGGAAATCCTTACAGTTTGCCCGAAACTGCCACAGAACTCTATGCATGTATCTATTATGAAAAACTAGTTGTTTTTTTATGTTACTTGTTTACTGACTTTTAAATAATATATAGAGATTACTGTGATGCACTGCATCGAACAGTCTTGTCAAACGAGAGCTGGAAAAATGGGAAAAATCCAGCAACTTCATAGATACTGAGACATCGCAAGATAATGTTTTGGCATACTTTAAGTAGTGTGTTGTATAAAACAAAAGCTGAAATAAAACTAATTGTATTCTGTACAGAGGGAAAACAATTGATGGTACAAGCTGTCCCTTACAAGCTGATTTAAAGGATTTGATTTGAATTAGTAGAGAACAGATCATTTTACAGTAAATAGTATGGGATGTGTTTTCCATATACTGTACATGACACATGATATACCACACAGGAAGTAAGGGTAGTGAGCTAGATAGCAATAAAAAGGTAACATTCAACATCCTGTCTGGCCTTGTCTCTCAACATCAGTGTAGAAGAGTACATGGCCAATGGTGGCCTCGCATTCGTCAAAAAGAAAAGTCTGTTGCTTATTTTTTCTTTAGGAATAAAAAGCTGATGGGGGATCTAGCCTTTCCCTACATTGCTAAAAAAAAAAATGTTCTACTAACCCTCTCCTACTTGATCCGAAGCTTAAAATAATTGTCCTGACTTTATTGCATATACCTTTATCAATTTATGTTACATTTCAAAATGGTGTTTCATTCTATTGATAATATATGGGGCAGCAATATTTGTAACAGAAAAAAATGAACAGCTAAAACCTGTAATAATATCATAGTGACACTAGACACTGGCAGAACTACTAGGGTCGCAGTGGTCACACGTGTGACCGGGCCCTGGCGTTCCGCCAATTGGGGGGTGGAGAAGAAGAGGGCCCTGCCCTGGTTACCACTGAGGCGGGGAGGGCTTTTCATGGTTTCTTGCACCGGGGACCTGGGGTTTCTGGTTATGCCCCTGACAGTAGGGTTCCCACGACAAAAGGTTGAGAACCACTGAGCTAGGCAAAACCAAAATAAAACAATGTGATTGGATGATAATCTATCTGAAATGCTTTATTCTGTCCTAAAGCAGAAACTGAAAAACTTGCTCCGTAATTCTTGTATTGGGCATATATATATATATATATTTTGTGTATTGTTTTATTTACATGATCTTGATCTAGCAAAGGCTTTGTATAAACAAATGAAGTTACAAGGGTTACGTTTCTCCACCAGGTAAGGACTGAATATAGAGAAATATATAACCCAATATTATATATCTGTCATCTGGAGTGTGGATCTTGGTGACCTCTTGCTTCTAAACCGGTGACCAGCCCTCACAGTAATGCTGCTAATCATTGTTAAACAATTTGAAATCAAAGAGAAGCACAAGAACAATTTCATATTTAAAAAAATACCTGTCTATACACACTGGTGGCCTGCCAATGTGTGCATAGATCATTTATGAGAACTCTAATGAAAAACACTTGAATCAAAGTGGAATTCTTGCTCACAGCAACTATATTCCTTGGAGTTGATTTACATCTCGAGTAAAGAAAACTTGAGTAAAAGCAGAGCAGTTTGAGGGCCTTAACAAGCATTTGTTTGTGTGTTGGGTCCAAGCTACCTGGACAAAGTGTGGTTTGGCTCCTGAGGGCCTATTTTATGGTCCTGTGAGAGATAAAAGTTTGTAAAAGCAGTGAGTGCTTCGGAACAACAGTTCCGAACGGTGAGCCGCGGGCTTGTATAATCCCGGGGGCCAGGTAGCCAATGCTCCTTAAAAACTACAGCTGGTACCTAACTTCTAAGGTTTTCTACAGTTGTTGTCAGTGGAGCTGGCTCCTAAATTACAATCATGCTAGCTTTTACATTGGACAGACTGGCCAATTCCAATTCTTTAATATTGCTTCCTGAATTCCATGAAACAATATTAAAGTAATGCTGCAACATGGTATTTCAGTTCATGAAGGTTGGAAAAGTCAACGAAGGAGTATAAGTTTGATCTTTGTGTACTACTAGCCTACAATTTAGCATTTTTTCTTACGCGTTAAGCCCCAACAGTCTGAATCATTTTGGAGTAAGGCTCATAGAACCGATGTCAGCTAGTTTTCTCTAGTGATAACACCAAATGTATTACATTTAAAAGCCATTTTGCCATACCCTAAAACACAAAAAAAATGTTTGTGTTACCATAAGACCCACAAATAAACAGCTGCTTATAAAAAAAGAGTAAATTATAAAAGTACATGATATATACATAATACAAAAGGTGAACTTCATGCCTAACTCGCACTTCTGGAAACCTACAAGTATGGCAAGTCTTACAATGTGTATTTTATAGAAAAATTCAGTGCTGACAATGCTGTATAAATCGCCCACACACTTAACTGTGACAAAAAAAACAAAAACCTGTTTAATAAAAAAAACAAGTGTAGGGACAATCTTGTGGTCCTTTACACTATTGCTCTCCATTAAATACTAACGCCAACCTCATGTTACTAAATGCAATGGACTCTAAGTAGGGAATTTCTTCTCTCTTCCTAAGTCCACAGCTGAAAGTGATATTCTGGGGAGTGAGAAAAGCCCATTGTGATGCACAGTCAGTACTCCTCCGTGCCCTGACTTCCGATATACATTTTTACAGGTGTAGAAGAATAAACAGAGCGCCCAACAAAGCTATATTCTGCCCCTAGATTGCATTCAATCCGACAGACTGCCATTCTGAGTGCAAATCCAGCCATTCTGAAACAAGGTGACAGCTCTCAGAAATCTGCAAATTCATCGTCCTCATCATTGTCCTCATTATAGTTGATGAGCCCCTGAGGGTCGTTATTGATGCGTTTGTATACAAAATGAAAGACTTGGAGGTTTGGTCGACTGTGAAGTTCAGCTTTAATTTTCTGTGGGTAAGTGTCTTCACTAAGCTGTTGCCAAGTTTCATCAATGTAAAGGAAGAGACCGTAGTTTTCAGGGTCCTTGACGTTAAACCGCCTAGAGCACATCTGGCAGACATCTTCTGTTGTGGTGTAAGGCCTAACAATGAGAGTTTTGCCTGTGCAACCACTATCCACCTCTTGCAGAGCAACCCTCAAATAGTTCTGTAACAAAAAAAAAAGGGAACAAATACAGAATGTTATTGATATACCTAAAGACCAGATGTCTGCATAGCCACCACAGGCTCTTGGAACACAGTCACTCACACATCATATTGCTGTCAGTAACACATTACTGTGCATAATAAAACGTTCCAGACTAGCACACTGCATGCCAGTGTAATCCAACTGGGTACTTGATGTTTATCTCCCTACATAGTTATTGCATTTTTGTTGGGGGGAGTAACGTACTTAATTATCATTCACTCTGGGTCCGTACACCCCTAAAGAAACTGTTAATACAGTACAGTGACAGTTTGCCCTATTCTTCTAGGGGTCAGTTATAGTTGTACTGATGCAGAATTGGCAAACGGTCTCTTTGGACCTTTTATTGCCCGGCCTTGGCATACCTTGAGGTGCTATGATGTTCTGTAATTGGAATATTAAGGCTAGTCACTGGACTGGGATAGGAATGAGGTGCCAAAAGACAGTTGGCTGAGGGTAGTACGAAGTAGAAATCTGGTCCTGATTAAGGGCCCAGACACACCAAATCCAGTGCGTTCCGGTATGGTTCGAGCCCGGAACGCACTGGATCGCATAGATCAAGCCGGGCAGCGTTCTGGGGCAGGAGGATGGGTGTCATGTCAATGGAACAGCAGACACACAACCCCGCCCGCAGTGCGATCAACTGTGGGGTAAAGGAATGCTCTCCGTTACAGTGCAGTGCGATTGGAAAAAAAAGGGCATGCAGCATTTTTTCAGATTGCACTGCACCAGAATGGAGGGCATTCCTGTACCTCGCGTTCCTTTGCGGGTGATCGCACTGCGGGCGAGGGGGGGGGGGGGGGGTGTCTGCGGTGCCATTGATATGAATGGCACCGACACGCCTACACTCCCACCCCAGAATGCTGCCAGGCTTGATCTACTTGATCCAGTGCGTTCCAGGCTCGAACCGCAACAGAACGCACTGAATATGGTGTGACTGGGCCCTAAGCATAAAAAAACTAAAACATATAAAGGGAAACAAGTAATTTATAAAGTCACTTATCTTACACGCAAAACATTCCCATAGATGAAGCATAATCTATCACCGACTGCTAATAATTCTTTGACAGGTGGGGGAAGTCACCAAACAAAAGCAACCTTGGCACTTTAGCGATTGTAAAAATACAAACCCCACGAGGCATTGCAAAACTCTGACAGCCATAGGCATTACTTCCAGAGGCAGAGGCATGGTGAGATTTGTAATTTCACCAGAGATGGAGTGACGTGTTGCCTACCCCTGCTCTGACCCTTCCCTATTGTATTAAAAAGTGTTTTTATTGCTGTGTGCTTGTTTTGGAGAGATTCTGCACACTTTCTGTCCCAATGACCACACATAATGTACTTCGAAATCTCCCCAATGAGGGCATAAGATAAAACATTCCATGAGATAAGACATTACAAAGGCTCAAACCATTCTCCACTCTAAAAAAAAATTAAACAATGGCTGGAATTTCATTTTAATGTAATGGGTATGATGCTTCTTGTCTTACATAATACCTGAAAGTCATCAATGGACGGAATGGTCCTGTTTGTAGTTCTTCTTTTGTGCCATTGCTTTAAGGTGTCTCTGGTCTCTGAATTTAGCAATCGAGCTGCTTGTTCTTCCTGAAAATTCTTTATTAAGGATAGTGCCCCATATGCACTTGTCAAGTAATAGCCTCCTAAGGGAAAACAAGCATTTCATGTAAATTTACAGCTAACAACAACATGACTGGGGTTATTTAGTTAAAACAGACCTTTTATCCATGTATTTTTAGGGAAGCAATTGTGAGGGCTAAACCAATATTTCACATAGAGTAGATGCAGCAATATCACTAATTCATGAGCACCTGGTGCCTTCTGATGTCCTATTAAACTGAGAAGCACATATGATCATCTTTGGACCGGCAAACTTATACTGCATGTCTGCTTCTACCATGTATGGTTGACTGGTACTCTTTATGGCTGAATGGTTCAATACCATCTGCCCTAAATTGATAATATCTATACAGCACATGGGCATGGCGACAATATCTATATAAAAGGACTGTAGAAGAAAGGAAAGGGTATATCTGTAAATGTGCTTGATTAGTATGCAAACATCAAACTAATCTAGAAAGTTGGTGCTTAGCCCTGTCCCATCCAGCACCTTTCTATTGGTTCATCACTGCGTCGGTGGCCTTACTGACCTATTGAGGTGCCTAGTAAACAGAACCAAGCACTAACTTCCTAGTGGAAGTTGCTATTTGAATAAAGCCAACCATATGCACACAATTTACACAATCTTTGTACAATTTACCAAAACTATGTAGTACGAGGGCCTATTGAAACTACCCATTTAATCTGAATGCAATCAGACAGGAGTTTGAACTGCATAGTTATTGGTAGATCTAAAGAAGATTGTATGGTTGGACTATAAGGTGTGGTGAGTGTAATAGAATACCCTGGGTTTTGGGGTTCCCAAAAGTTTCTACAAGTAAGCACACACTGACAGCAAGCAGCTAGAGGTGCCTACTATTCTATTCAAGTGTTGCTTTCACAAGAATATCACACATTGTTTTAAACATACCAACAACAGTGACAGGTCTATGTATTCTGTTATTTTCTGGCCTTTATACATATTTATATCCCATCCCTCTTCTTTATATTACTTAGTTATCTCTGAATATCAGGCTCTGTACTGTGAAATATGTTCACCATGTCACAGGAAAGTTTCTATTTGCAGGCATGGGGTAGACAAGTTCAGGAAGGGAGGAGGAGGTCCTCTCTGGTTATCTGAGACATACCACTCTCTCAACAGGATGGAACTATTTAGCTAAACTTGACCATAATAACATAAGAATTCTGTAATGGAAAAATCAGCTGTAGAAAATAACATTACACGGTATAAAGAAAACAAACACACTGAATCATTCCATAGCCTGCCTCTTAATGGCAGCAATACAAAACAATGTAATGGTTTTAATATCGTCCATATTTTAGGTGCTAAACTGTTGTGTGACAGACCGGGACACATCATTCCCAAACTGAAAAATGCTGAACGTTATCAAGTTTACCACTGCTGGGGATTTTAAGTCAGAATTTATAAATGTCTACACATGAAAGAGAGGGCATGAAGCCAGAAATAGCCTGATGTTGTATTTGATGTTTGAACTGTATGTACTAAGAATTCTTAGGCTACATTCACACAAACAGCATGAACCTGCATTATTATTGCAGTGTAATAACATAACTGTAACTATAAGTGAATGATGCAATTCCCACTTTGAACTGCACCATCTATTTACATTTCTTTCTTAGCACCATGCACATTATTGATGTAGATAAATGGCGTCTATGGCAGAGAGACACTGACCTATTTTGATTTTTTTTTTTGCTAAAAAGATCTCACTGGGTGAGCTTTCATGTTTTCTGCTACGAAAGAAGGAGGGCTTCACTGCAGGTACCAGATGTCTTAAGGTGCCCATACACTTTACAACCCTCGCAAGACTTTTGTCTTGCGATGGTTGTAAAGTACTTTAAAAAATGTACGATCTGCCCATCTTGGACAGGCAGATCGTACTTGCGATCATCGCAAGCCCGCCCGCCTGACTGCAATGAGGGGCGGGCTTGCGATGACGGCAAACGGGCAGTGTGCCCATGCCACTAACTCGCCGAGAATCGTACGATTCCCGGCGGGTTTTCCAGCCTGCTTGTTCGATGGAAGACGTGCGACCGTACAGTAGAAACGGTCACACGCCTTCCATACACTGCACGATTCTCGTACGATCGCGGGATTTCCTGCGATTCTCGTACGAGAATCGTGCAGTGTATGGGCACTTTTAGGGGGAAAATCCACCACGTTCACAGGGTTTGGGTTTGTGGAGAGGCCTATAAAAATGAATTAACGCTCCCAATCAAACTACAAATGTCCTGACTGGTTGAACGTTCTGAAATATATGTGCAAGGCAGCGAATGGATCTGCAGTAGAGATTACAAATGGCTCCAACAGTCTTTTAAGTTTGGTGAACCTTGGATAATTTTAAAAATGTTGACAGATGTGAAAGATGCATGCATGTTCAAATAATTGTAGAGCAACCTGGAAACATGGACTCCCAGGATGCTGTAAATATGCAAGTAATTACTTCAGGAACTAACGGTAAGCTATGCTTGGCTCAGCTCCCTGCCACACCTCACTGTTAGCCAATATTAACCAATAGTGAAGTGATACACGCTAAAGCAATTCAGCTCTTACATAATCTCTTATATGAGGATAATTACCCAGGGAAGTTATTTACAGGAACGGGAAAGCAGCAGAAACATGTTATCCAGACAATGTTCTCGTGAGTAGAAGTGCAGCAAAGTACAGTCAAAGAAATGTGAAACCCCCATTTGTATTAACCCATACAGTTCAAGTAGAATGGATGAGTTACTACTGGACATTGACCTTTCCTTTTTCAAGTGTACATAACAAGCCTGTTTACTCAATATCATTCCTAAAACAAGCCTACATGTGCTTCTCTGTGTTTAGGGGGCTTATTCAGATTAATAGAAAGTTGTGCGTACGCTGTACGCATGTTTGTGGGAACGTTTACATACGTACAGTGCAAATGAACCCTGTTGTCCACCACAGCTGCTCAGGGATGACATGTAAATTAGGGATGCACCGATACCGATACAGAGTATTTGGGCGAGTACTCGTACTCGCCCAAATGCTCCGATGCCTAGCCCAATACTTCCTGTATCACTTGTGACGAGAGAGCATGGAGCCGACTTCCCGGCGAATCAGGAAGCTGGGCAGCGTGTAATGACGCGCTGCCCGGCTTCCTGATTGGTTGGGAAGCCGGCTTCATGCTCCCTCGTCATCTTCCATGATTGGCCAGCAAGCCGGCTCCATGCTTTCTCGTCACATAGGGACGAGAAGCATTGGACGGCTTCCTTGTTAATCGGGGAGCCGGGTGGCGAGTCTTTACACGCTGCCCGGCTAATCAGGAAGCCAGGTGGTGAGTCATTACACCCGCCTGGCTTCCTGAATGGGACTTCCGGTACTCTGTATTTGGTATCAGCGAGTACCAGAAAAAAATATCGGTACTCGTACCAAAATACCGGTATCGGTGCATCCCTAATTTAAATATCAACAATGTGTAGCCAGCACTGACACACTATTGATGTTTACATCTACCTGTGAATGAATCATTCATGCAGCAAAAGCACATGTGCAGAATGACCGATTCTGCGCATGCGCCACTGCATAAACGAGTCATTCAGGATTGACATGCAAACATCAATAGTGTGTATCAGAGGCGGTGGCAACGCTGGCTACACATTGTTATTGTTTACATGTTGGCTCTGAGCAGCAGTGGCAGCCAATGTACGCTGTACCAGTGTATGTATTAGCAAACATGTAAACAGTATCACAAACTGTACATTTGTACAGCATAAAATATGGTCTTAGTAGGGCCCTGGATGCAGCTTTCTTCTAGTTTTTGTTTTTTTAAAAGGAAAACGTAGGCTGTATTTCTTGATACTGTTTTTTTAGAAGGATTATAAACAAATCCTACCTTCGCCATGCAGCAGAGCTGGGTCCAGTAACTCCATCATGTACTCAATTTCAGTGTCAAATTCCAGCATATCACACTGAGCGATGACATAAGTTAGAACTGGCAGAAAATCATCTGCTCCATACATCCTCCCTAGAAGACAGATGAAATACAATTACACCTAAACAGGGTAACATAAAATGGTCAATCAATAAACTATGCAACATAAAATGATCAATCTAATTTCATGAACATTTTTATATGTCATCAGGCTCAGGCATTAGTGGGGGAAAAAAAGCATACGCATTAGTAAATGTCTTCATTTGTTTAATTATTCCTTTATTTTTAAAGATAAGATTGCAATCTGACATTTTACAGTTGAAAAACTCTAGCCAACACGTTTGAATAGAGTGGGGAAACATAGGGGGGTGACACAGGTGATAACTTCTTCACTTTGACCTAAAACACATCCCATCAAATTATTAGGACGTGTCTGCAGTGAAATATTCTCGAGCTGATTTACAAATGGAGTAGCTAATACTAGATAAGTCCTAGACAAGTAACAATAAGCAGTAGCCTGAGCACCAAAGCATAGAAATAAAGCACCGCTCCTCCATGGCTTTAGCAGGGAAAATGACAGCCGGCTGCTCACCCGCAGGAGTGTGTCCTCGCTCCAAACAAGTATATAGTGAAGGAAGAAATCGGCCTAAGCAGTTTATTTTGATAAAAGGAGTTGCACTGTCCTATAAAAATGACCATAGAACAAGACAATGGATGGATTGGAGCTTGTTTATTTTTCTGTTTATTTGCTGTAAATTTCAGATTAAAAACCATGCTTCCATTGTGTCATTTCTCGGGAAAGACACGTCTCTTGATCTCTGTGATTCTCGGTTTCAGCAAGATGTGTTGTTTCAGGTTTCTTCACTAAGAAATTCAAAAGAAAGCTGAGCGGATTTTATTATTTATTTTTTCTAAAGAAAGCTGCTGCTCTACTCTATGCACTAACAACAATTAGTTTCTTATATTAAACAAGTTTGGTTTTAGAGCTTTTAGACACAAATAACATGTGCAGGAAATGTGTTGAGGATTCCTTAAGACCTAACATTATTCAACGTGACTTCACTGGATTACAATGTATAGGCGAATATACAGGGTGTCCCTAAAAGTCTGCATCCATAGGCAGAAAATAATTAAAAAGTTTTATTAAAGTGAAGGCTCAAATTCAAGGACTTGGACTTCGCAACATTTGTGTATATGCTGAATACCAGAACGCTGAACATTTGCTAACATCTGAAATGTTACAGTATTTCAAGGAGACTATATATTTAAATTCTCCACACTTGGCTACAGTCTGCCGAAATACCTGCCCACTCAGAAGCCTAAATGTTCTGTTCTATTTTGGAGTGTGTCCAGGATTACATTGTTCACGTGTGATATAGATATATATAGATATAGATATGTCAAGTCAGTGGGTGGCAGGATTGTTAATGGGGTAAGTCACCTAGGTTTCTCGCTTACACATGGTGAGGGGCTTCAAGGTTTATGGGTTATGTGGAGAAAACAAACTTTTTGTTTTTTCAGAATCCTACGTCCTGTTTTGGGTTCTGGAACCTGGAGGTTTTATAGAGCCTTGGGAGGGAAAAGCCTCCATTACTAGGTCTACATTTTATCTGGTAGTCAGACCTCATTATTAGTCTCAGTTGTCTACATGGAAATGTGAGCTGACTGATGCTTAGGGTTCTCGGTCTCTCTGCTGTGAATGCTTACTGCTGGGTAAAAAGGCTGAGTGCAGACAGAAAGGTACAAGAACTGCTTGATAGTTTTAGTGAATCCAATGACGACAACATGTTAGTGGGGATCTGACCTTAGTTAAAGGAGAACTATGAGGTTAGTGCTTCTCACTCACCTCATAGTTCTAGCCAACCTGTGACAATGAGACTGTCACAGGTCGGCTCACTAGATCGGGAGGTGAGCGAACACATACCGGTGTTCGCTCACTTCTCGATCCTGTCACGGCTCTCTGCCGTGACAGGGGAGGGGCTGGATTCCCCCCTCCCTGCTCCGATCCGGGGTGGGTACAGCTGGCTCTGCCTCTAGATAGGCAGAGCCAGCTGTCAGTCACGCAGCTGGGCGGATCCCGGCATAATTGTCGGGATGCACTTCAGCTGCGGCGTCTTAGTATACCGCGAGTAGCAGCTTGCGGTATACTGCGGCGTCTCAGTATACCGTGAGCTGCAGCTCGCGGTATACTGAGCCTAGGGTGACGGGAGGACGCTAGTTTGTGTCCTCCCGTTACCCGGAGAACTATGGGGAACAGCCTTAACCCCATAGTTCTCCTGTAAGTTAGTGGTTTGGATGAGCAGATGTTTTGTTTGTTGTATGCTATGGGCATGCTGTACACAGACCTCATGCATTGAAAATGTGTTTGTTCAATGCCTTGCTGCATAAAAGAGCAGCACAAGCCTGCATAGACTGTTCTTGGATGCCCTTGTTTCATGCATAGTTTATCACAGCCAAAACCAATTGAGTCTGCCCATCTTAGAATATATGCATGTGCACGTGTCAATGAGTATAGGTATATTTCCCAGCGTACCTGAGTTATTCTCCATGCACGTATAGATGAGTTTGCAGATTCTGAGTAGCAGCATCACTTTCTTCTCTGGAGAGTACATTTTTTGCATGGTGCACAACTTGATTTTGATCTTTTCCACATCGACAGATTCTGGGGTTGGGGTGAGAACCCCAAGCTCCTGAGGGGTCCTCTGTTTTACTAATAACAGGTTCTCCTTCAGCTCTCTCCAGGAGCCATCTGCAGTTCGAAAGTTCTTTAGCATGTTTTCTATATAACCTTTCAGCGGCTTTAATATACACTTGTGCATTGCTTTTTCCAGGACTGCATCTGAAACACAGAAGAAAAGCATGGTATTGTAATCAGGGAGAATCAGTAATAGCATTTTCCACTCATTTATTTAAAAAAAAATGTGGAATAAAGTCAATTGAGTATCTGGGAGAACTGTTACTTCTTGCATCTCCGAAGAATTTTCTTACCACCTGTCTTTTCAGTATATTTAGTTTGTCATAAACCATGGAAAACTGAAGCTTTCAGTTTTTTTGACATGGCTTGAGTCGATGGCCTATGGGCTTGTATCTATGAGAAAATGCAGCATACTTCCAGGCGCCTTCTGCTTGAATTTGATATCAGTTCACTGGCAGGTCAGTGCATTTGACAAGCAGCTGACCACCTCCTAACTTGCATTTAACTTCCTTTGAGCAAAAATCAAACTGTTTTTGCATATCCATTGACTTGGTATTGGAAGAGAAGGAGTTCTGATATAAACAAAAGTGCATCAACACAGGCCCTTATTCAGCTTTTTCCTTTCCAAAACAGCTTTAAGTTTCCACAAACTCACGTATTTTAACATTAAAAGAGGACTATGGGGTAACCTTTTTATCCCATAGTTCTCGTTTGGGTCATTGGAGGACATATACTAATGTCGTCCAGTGAACCAAAGCTCAGTATATAGCAGGCTATTGCCCGCTATATACTGAGAGCGCCGCAGCCGGGACGGATCCCGACAATATTGTCGAGATCCGCCCAGCTGGCTGATTGACAGCGGGCTCTGCCTATCTAGAGGCAGAGCCATCTGTGCCCTCCCCCACCCCATCCGTTCCTCCAGTCAACGCCGGAGGATCGGAGAGGGGGGGAATCCTTGCAGGGAGCGGTGACCGATAGTCACCCTCTCTGCAGGGAGATGATCGGGAAGTAAGCGAGCGACGGTATGTGTTCGCTTACTTCCCTATCTATAGAGTCGATGTGTAACAGTTTCAATGTCACACGTTGGCTCTAACTATGAGGATGAGTGTAAATCATTCACCTCATAGTTCTCCTTTAATCTCTTTGCTCTATGCTCACATTACTTTCAAGTAATATAGTATTAGTTATGCATGCTTTAGGGGAAAAACATCTAGTTTCCACTAGAGTGAATCAGTTGGGCTGATTTACTAAAGGCAAATAGTCTGTTAACCTTGCAAAGGAATTTTCTCTTCGATTAGTGAATGTGTTGAAAATTCGCTTTGCATAGAATACCCAATGTTTTTGCTTGCACATGATTGGATGAGTGAAGTCAGCAGAGGTTTACCTCATTTAATAAGCTAAGGTAAAATTCCCTAGCATAATGAACAGCTTATTTGCATTTAGTAATCAACCCCATTGCGTCAAATGCCAGTGGATATGCTACGCGGCACTGCCAATCCCATTCCTTAGGGTCACAATATTACAATGGAATGCTCATGAGCGTCAGAGGGAAAGTACATTCATCTGCAGGGACAGCCCGAATAGCAGATGTCATAATACCTCAATCAAGTATCTATTAAAAGAAATGTCTTTTATGTTTTCAACTGCACAAAATGTCTAAGTACCAGAAAAGCTTCAAGCAACATGTGACCTAAATAGCAATACCAAAAGAAGGACATCTGACACACCGTATTAACAAGCTTCTACAGTTTACTAACAGCAAAACGTGAGCACCACCCATGGCGTCATTGAATTGCATAGTCACAAAGGAATTCCATAAAACAAAGTCAGTAAAAAGTGACAAAAATAAAAACTTGCTTTTTGGTATTGGTATATTACATATTGAATATTTGGTATTGGTATATTACATATTGAATGATGGCATGAATTTTAAGGAAATCTGACCCTGTGCTACATGTGGTTAGTATCTCTATTTTCTTTTACTATTTATAACTCTCAATTCTGCCTAACCTACATTGTGATGATTATGCTATTATTAAATATAAACCTGAGGGTCTTGGCAACAGGTCCACACTCTGAACCACACTCTTGAACTTCTAAGCATTGAAGTCCATCATATTGAGATATATACCTAATTGATTAATTTACTTCACACATTAATACAGTGCAAAAAATGTATACAGAGCTTTACATATTATTTATTTACATCAGTCCCTGCACTCAAGGAGCTTACAATCTAAGGACCCCATCTCACATGCGCAAGCATACTAAGGCCAATTCAGACAGGACCCAATTAACCTTCCAGCATGTCTTTGGAGTGTAGGAGGAAACCCACACAAGCACAAAGACAACATGCAAACTTCATGCAGATAGTGTCCTGGGTGGGATTTGAACTGAGTGTCCCAGAAGTGCTAACCACTAAGCCACTATGCTGCTCATGACAGAAGTTCGATCAGTCTCTTCTATGCTAGGGTATAAAATAATTTTGGCATATTCAAATAGTATAAAAGCCCTCATGCCTCATCTCACAAATATATGATATTCTCTTTAGCCATAGCAATCCATCCTAGCCTTATTATCTTCGGCCACTGGAATCTGAGCTTGGATATGAATTTCAGGCCAATCTACAAAATATGTTTATGCTCACTCATAAGACCAGCAATTCTAGGGCAGCTCAGGAGAGAAGTTATAAGATGCTAACAAGATTGTACCAATGCCCATACACCTGCATTTTGATCTATACTGGCTCTGTAACGCTGCTTCCATTACAATGCTCCATGTGTGATGGCACTGTCTGCCCATGCATGGATACACGGAGAAAATATTTTTTATACAGGGTAATCAGTGACTTGAAGGTTCATGTGACCCCAAAAATTGCACTTCTCTTCCTTCTATCGAGTTCTATTTCCAAAGACTAAAAAGGCCTTCTTAGGTTCTTTATCCAAGTGGCTTGTGCTACAATTCCACAACACTGGAATACTGAAATCTCTACTGTCTCAGAATGGCTGCAAGAATTTTTACACATTCAACATTCACTTCACGACAGACATTCTAGTCATGCGACTATCTGGAGTGTCTGGATTGTTCTCTCAGGCACTGTACAAAAGCAAAATCTACCAGTGTGCAGGGTTCTGCTGACTCTCCATCTGGGCTCCACCAACCCCCTTGTGTGCCCCACTCCCCTCCTCTCTTTTTCCTTTCTAGGTCTCTTACTTGCTCCCCCCCCCCTTTTATTTTCTTCTCTATGTGTGTGTTTTTTTTTAATGCTACTCTATTTTGTTTCTTCTGCTCAGGACCACTTGAGCACCCACTGGTAAAACATGCCCATGCGGGGAATTGACCTACACAATGGGCCTAATGTGTGCAGGTCCTACAGAACAGACCATTTGCCTGTTATTTATTTGCCTTACTGAGTCTGGAAGTCTGGTACATTGCACATATTGTGCCTACTTCTCACCCATCTGTGCAAAGGCATGATTTTACCATCACCAGCTACACGCTATCCTTACATAGTTACATAGTTACATAGTATTTGAGGTTGAATAAAGACATTAGTCCATCAAGTCCAACCTATTAGGATCTCATTCTAGGAGTACCTGACCTGACCTTTATCCTTCTTACTGTACTGTACTGTATTGGGATACACTTTGAATAAACTTTTATTTTGTAAAAAAACAAACAAACAACAGTGAAAAAGTATTTGCTCACTTTACAGTCTTCTTTAGTTTGACAGATTTACATTGTTTGGTCAGATCTTATGACATATGTATAAAAGTTCCCTTGTGTGGAAGATGATGTATAATACAGGATAATGTTTTTACCATGTAGGAATATTGAACTGTTTTATGTAATTTTGGTATGGAGCTGTTTGAACACAGAGCAGGGATCAACATATACAAACAATATTGTGGAGCTTCCTAAAAAGAAAAAAAATGTAAAATCCAAAAAAAGTGTCCATATTGCCCACAGCAGTAGGATCATGTATTTTGTAACAGTGGAAAAAAATTACTTCTGGGCTATAATTTAATTTCTCAATTCTTTATTGCTCAGCCCTTTCAGTTACTATATTTTTTTCATTGTTGGATGTTTCTTCTCATATTCTTAAAGACATGGTCCACATCAAACTCCACTCCAAAGCACCCAAGTTTATTTAAAAAAAATATATAAATAAAAAGGAGTCAAAATAAATGTGTGTTACCTTAAAGTGGAACTGTAAGTAAAAATTAAAAAAGGGTGATCAGGCAGGCTTTATATTGCAGAAGAGACTTACTAGGTGTCTACTGCAATAAAGGAATTTTATCTGCCTGTTTGCCTTCTTATTGACAATGTACACTCATGCGTACAATTTTGGCATATGCCAGGAAAAATGAACTCACGCACACGCGTGGAAGTTACATCATCCCAGCACGGTCAATCAAGATGAAGATCCCCAACAAGGAGGAAGAGTGGGTGACAATATTGGTGCCACCAGGGGTGCTCACAGATATCACATTTCTGGAGGCACGGCAAGTATAATTGCTCTATTTAGCCTTCTCATATTGAATGGACTGCCAAAAATGTTTTTTAAAGTCAGCGTATCACAACCCATGGCATGGGTTGGGTGCTTTCAAACCTAATGTACTTGTATGTTGAGGTGGCATTCTAAAAGAATGGCACTGCGGTGCAGCATACAAGGTGCTTTGTGTAACCACGCTTTGTGGTAACATGTGGTAAAAGGATGTTTTGCCTTGCTTTTCTATAATGCATAGGTGTGAAAGCAGCCTATAGGAGACATCAAGATTCACATATAACCTCAGCTGCCTTTATCTGAGGATCTCCTGATTAAACATGTAGTTGCGACTGGAGGAATGCTCTGCTCATGAATTTTCCGTCATATGCTTTGTTTAGGTTGTCCAGGTTTGTGATGGGTTACTTAAAAAGGAGAACTATGAGGCGAGTGCTTTTCACTCACCTCATAGTTCTAGCTGACCTGTGACAATTAAACTGTCACAGGTCGGCTCAATAGATCGGGAGGTGAGCGAACACATACCGTCGTTCGCTCACTTCTCGATCCTGTCACGGCTCTCTGCCATGACAGGGGAGGGGCTGGATTCCCCCCTCCGCCAACGCTGACTGGCGGAACGGACGGGGGAGGGTACAGCTGG